TTATTGAACTTATAAAACGTGTATCACCAATATTAGAATTATACGACTGAGAATAACGACTCCGAAATTCCGACTGAAAACCTCATTGGTTATTGTAGTCACGTGACCTCGCCTGAGCCAATAGCAACGCAGCAAGTAAAAACGCAGACAGCTGCCGATAAACGCTCTCTCTCATTCTACAGCTTGTTTATAGCGCTACGCATTCGCACCTATACATAATTTATTAGATCACCTGGCAAGTAGAAAGCCCCACCAAAATGATCTGCCTTTTTGAGAATCTTATATTTTAATTATAAATAGGTAATACCCTGTCAAAAAAATATAAAAAATGTATTGCATCAAATACATTTTTTATATTTTTTTTCAAAATATTTTTGTACGTATCTGGAAATATTAAAACCCCAACTTAATCGTCTGACTTATTGGCGCGTGGTAGGAGAGGTATAGGACAAGTTTTCGGCTTACCTCAAATACCTACCGAAAAATTGGTACCAGCTCTTGGAATATATCTATTTGACAGAGAAAAACATATTCAGTATGCGCACTGTATTCGTAAGACCACGATCATACGTTTACGTATAAGTCGCGGTACGAAAATCTAGCGCTGACCGTTATTGCACAGAAGTAAAAATTAAGATGACTTGGGGGGAAACGAGGTGCGCGGGTGGGTGTGCGTTGCGCCGATTGGCTCTCCAGTCGTACCCAAGAGCAGCTATCCCCTCCGCGTTTTGTTCAGCGGTAGCGTTACGTGCCGCGACCTGTATAATATAAATTCGTGTCAAAAGTAAGCGCGACCTTAGACGACGAAATACAAAAATTGTTAAACAAATACATACAAGCGAAAGAATATAGATTTTTGAAGTTATACTTCTTTAGGCGCGTTATGAAAAAATGATGAGAGTGAAATTTTAAGATGCGCGCGCATCACTGTAACACAAAAAATTAACAGCATGAAGTTGGTCGCTAAAGCGACCAACTTCATGCTGTTACTTTTGTGTTTACCGCACATCAAGAAAATCTACCAACAAAATAGAAATAGAATCTCTATTTTGTGGGTGCTAACGACTGCATTGTGAAGGCCTATCAAAAGTATTTATTAATCTGGAACAACGGAACCAAAGCGCGATTCAGGAGACTACAGCGCCATCTCTTGACCATTGGTGTAGTAGAACCAAAAACCACATCTTTATTTTTTGTAATAAAGTAACAGTTATAGGTATTCATATTTATAATATTTATCCACATGTTTCTAGTTTGTATATTCGGAATACGTGTTTGAGTTTCATACAAGTGCAAATCACATATTATTATGTTCTAATAAATTATATTCAGTAGCGATTTTAATTGAATATTTTGATTATTTATTTATTTTTTCAAATTAAAACTGAACTTTATTGACTGTGTCCTTTTCCAGACTTTTTATTAATTTATTGTAATTAATTATTTGCATGCAATTAAAAACTAATTTTAAACGATGCCAAAGAAGGATAACTTCTCACGCGCCTACATAAGAACACGCACCCATTTTTTGTAAATTTAAACAGTATGTACTTAATTTTATTTTTATTACAAGTACAGTAGGCCCGCGGTAATCCGGCAAACGTTTTGCAGGTCAATGTCGGATCATTTAATTTGTCGGATTATAGAGTACTGTACGACCGCCCTCTAAAGTCCGGATTTTTTGGAATAAGAGTACCTTGTAATCCGAACAAATTACAAATCATTAAAGTTTATTTATCATGAACTAAGCGAAAGCTTGTATCTCAGTGCACCAGTACCCTCCTCTTCGTAAGGTAACCGTTTTATCCTATCAAAGTAAGTTTCTACATATAAAAATACCTGTAGGAGAATATATAATATACCACATATATCCAAATAATGACTTCATTGACAATGATCGGGACTAGAGCCAAGACAAATTTATATTAAGTTAATTACAATGCACATTTTTATGGAAGAAGCAAAGAGTTATGCGTTGTCACAGTTAGTATAATGGATTTTCAAAACCACTACTAGAAAAGAACACTACGCAAAAATACGATTTAAACCTAAGTCACATACCATCATACATTAATTTATATGCACTTGCCCGCAGACTGTTACTTTACAACTTCAAAATCAGATTTCAGACAGGTGTATTTACTTGATGAAGTGATAAAATAGAACTTACAAACGATCGTAGGATATTTTATAGTGTGTGTAATATTGTGTTTTCTACCCAGACATTTACAAACCTCCAGAAACGCTCCGAATAATTTATGTATTACTTAATAAGTTTGTTGTTAACAGGATTGAGATATAACTATCTGATTGGGAGTAGTAGTTTTTCGGTATCATCATAGTTAATTTTTTGCAAGAAGGATGTTACTGAGAGTTTACAATGATATCTATCAAGAGCGAAAATATTGAGTTTCTTTTGAAGTCTTTAATACAGAAAAGGCCCTAAGAAACAGAAAAATCGACGGGGATAATATGTTTTAAATGACAACGAACGTACAATATGATGATTACGATATTGCCGGTCTACTGTACTTATTACAGCGGCAATAGAAATACACATTATGTGAACATTTCTGCCAAACTGTGGAATTCCTTGCCTGAGCCCTTGTTCCCCGAGCACTACAATCTAGCGGTCTTCAAAGCAAGAGTGAACCGGTTTTTTATTAGGTAAGCGCGCTCCATCGTAGACCATAATATTGCTTTCCATCAGGTGAATTATGGTCAAGCGCTTACCTATTACCGAAAAAAAAAAAAACCTTTTAGCTATCTACACAGATCCGCAGACGTACGACCGGACTGACGAACAATCAGCGAAACAAAGAATGTTTAGTGAAAGGGTTTCGTCGTGTACGAAACTCTTAAAAAGTTTTTTTTTATTCATAATAATTACAACTCTGTGGTGCGTAACAATGAGTTATTAAAGAAGAGTGTTTGAAAACTTTTAATTTGTTCGTTTCTTTTTCCTTCACAAAGTTTGGCGGAAAAAATCGCGGTAGATACAAGTTAATTAGTGTTTTGTAAAGCAAATATTTGTGATATTTTTTAAAGGTTACGATCTTCTGTAAGTTGTAGTTTATCTCTCTAGGAGAATGCACAAATTCAACAGGAAAATCGACTATGCCCTACTTTTCTTACATTTACAATGATGTGCGCGGGCGTTAGCAGACGCCAGTCTCTATATTTTTTACTAGTGGTCCGCCCTCGCTTCGCTTCGGAGTAGAATTGATCAAAATCCTTTCTTAGTGGATGCCTACGTCATAACATCTACCTGCATGCCAAATTTCAGCCTGATCCGTCCAGTGGTTTGGGCTGTGCGTTGATAGATCACTATGTCAGTCAGTCACCTTTGAGTTTTATCTATATAGATTTAGATTCCAGTGATTTTAAATTAACAACAAAGTTTATATCTAAAGGTTTTTTTTTACTACAAAAAATTCTCCCCGGTCCAGGCAGCAGACGGAACTCAAACTCGCACCCTTCGCTATCCGGGCGAATGCATTGACCATTATGCTACCACGGCCCTGTTGGCCGTATCCAATTTTCTCTAGCCTTAGGCTGCAAGGCAGCGCAATCATTTCGCATTGTAGGTAACCCACAATTTTTTCTAGTAAAATTATCTTTAGATTTATAAATCTAGCAGTTAAATGTTTAAAAAATAAAATATGTGTATATATAACAACAAATCTTTTTATTTTTTAACCAATGAAATGGTACCAAATGATTGTCGATAGTAATATCTAAACAAATATCTAAGCTTGTCAAAATTCTTCAAATAGTTTAACGAAAACATAGGGCGGATAGGAATTTAATTTTACCCCGACCAAGGGTAATCCCACCCAAAATACTTGCCACATTCCCTACTTGATAATCTTGCCAATACAATGAATTCACTACTAAATGATGAAAAACTAATTTTAGTCGATACAACCGTTTTCTTAGGCGTAACACTAGACCACAAACTTCAATGGAACCCTCACATTACAACACTAGCCGGTAAACTTAGTTCCACTGCTTATGCAATCTATAAAATAAGACGGCTTACAGACGTCGACACTGCTAGGACAATATACTTCAGCTATTTCCACAGCATTATGTCGAATGGCATTCTATTGTGGGGCACGGCCGCTGACATTGAAACAGTTTTTATTCTACAAAAACGCGCTATAAGAGCTATATATCGCTTGGGATCTCGAACTTCTCTAAGGGATAAATTTTAAGAAATAGGTATAATGACTGTTGCCTGTTGCCTGCAATACAATAGGCTAGTTGACCCTTTTTGGAAAAAGGTTTTAAATGGTTAATAAATGTTCTATTAGACCGAAAAAAAATGTATTGTAATTTTTTTAAACCTAGAAAGCTACAAATCTTTAATTTTAAAATAGACTTTTCATGGACATACAAAAACGCTGTCGGCCATTTTAGTCTATAGATTATCTATGCTATGACGTGAACTATGGTAAACAATAACTCGTAAAGACGTAGAAAATTACTTTTAACTGAGTTTATAATAAAAAAAAAACATGATTTCTAATAAATACCACGAAAAATAAAGTAATTATCATTACTGTATTGTACGAGAATATAAAAACACATCCTTGAAGACTCCAGGAAAGTTGTGGATTAAAGTGCCGAAAGAAATTAACCTACGCAACTTTATTACACTTAATCATATGTTGTATCAGTTTTATGTTTATTACTACATTGTAATACGAAATGCACTGTACTTACATAGCTGCCTTGTCGTTTCTCTGCTCCGCAGAGCAGAAATCGGGGCTTAGTGCAACAAATTCACCAACCATCAATGCGTCAATTATTGGCAGATTTGTGCTTTCTGCTTTCACAAAGCCGGCATCCATAATTTGGTTTGGAAAAAAAAAACTAAGTTTACTGTTTTTTTCTTTCCTAAAGTTAAAAGTGTTTTAAGATAAATTTAGTCAGACGAAAGAATCCACCTTTTTTTTTTTTTTTTTTTTTTTTTTTTTTTTTTTTTTTTTTTTTTTAACGGGGAGAATGCCTTTAAGCACCGTCCCCGCCCACTGGGCTAGTGAGCGGGGGTGTGTGGGACTCACCCGGCTAAAGAGATAGCCGGGAATACTCCACTAAACTCCCCGGGAACTTCGCCTCGCCACAATTGAGCGGGCCACGAGCATGCGCAGGGCGCTGGCTCGCGTAGGCCTGCTCGGTGGTGCCCGCACAGAAGTCTGCACGGGCTCATCTCCGTGCCGGAGGCATGGGGCATCCGCGTTCCGACGGACACCCCACCGTCATACGGGGGCCTGTACAACGCGGGTCACTGGCGCCCAACCAATAGCCCGCAGACCCCCGCTAGGTCGACGCTTGCGCGAATGTTCTGCGTCGCCGCCCAGTCCTCCGACGCCTCCTCGCAGGTGCGAGAGGGTCAGCCTCCCTCTCTCTCTCATTGGCCTCCTTTGCCGCCATGACCGTCGCGCTAAAGTGGGCAACGGCATTCCAGGCCCTTCGCCTCGAGACCATAGCCCGAACGACACTGGGAAGGGACAAATCATTCCCGACCTCTCTGATAAGGGCACCACGCTGTTCGTCCCATGCAGAGCACTGTTCCAGCGTGTGTTGCGCAGTGTCTTCGCTAGCGTCACATTCGTGGCATTTGGGCTCTTCCTCTCTTCCAGCAACTCGATACAGGTATCGGCCGAAGCAGCCATGACCGGTTAGAATTTGCACGAGGTGGAAGGAGAGGGACCCAAATCCTCGAGTAGCCCACTGTTTGAGAACAGGGGCAATCGCCTCGTTTGTGCGGCGGCCGGAGACAGAAATCTCTAGCCTTCGCGCCCAATATGCATCCAGAAATTCATTCCTGGCGTCCTCACGCCACCTCTCAACCTCCTCGATGGTAGGCCTGTCCCCACGCAGGCGGACCTCCGTCCTTTTGCGGTATACCGCCGTCAAAATTTGCGCGTCGAGCTCCCAAGGAGGGATGGCAGCCAGCGCACATGCAGTTTCACCTGCAATGGTACGGTAGCCCCGGATGGCCCTGACTGCGACTATGCGCTGAGCACGTCTAAGCACGGCAGCATTTCTGGCGTCTAGGGCGTCTATCCACACCGGGGCACCATAAAGACCCATGGATGCCACCACCCCTGCAAACAATCGGCGGCACACCGAATTAGGTCCACCCACATTTGGGAGCAGGCGACCAAGTGCCATCGCAGTGGAGATCAGTTTCGGACACAAGCGGATAAAATGTTCCCTGAATTTCCATTGCCCATCTAGCACCAATCCCAAATATTTCATATGGGGGGATATATCAATCCGCACCCCATTTATCATCAAATAAGATTGTGGTGGCGGCTTTTTTCGGGGGCCATGAAACACTATGGCCTCCGTCTTCTCTAGTGCCACATTAAGCCCCAATTCTTTAATCCTGGAAACTACCTGTCCAACCCCGACTGTGGCCAGTAGCGCGGCTTCCCTATATGCTTTCCCGCGGGCCATAACGAGAGTATCATCTGCATAACAAACCACGTTCAGCCCGCGGAGAAGACTTCCTCTAAGCACGTAATTATACCCGAGGTTCCACAGGAGTGGACCAAGAACCGATCCCTGGGGAACCCCGCGTACGACCTCTTTTTTCACCATGCGTCCTCTGCTGTCCATAAACACCACAACTCGCTCCCTGAAGTAGTCCGCAATGAGTAGACGGATATACTGAGGCACTTGGTGGTAAATTAGTGCCTCAAGGACGCATTCCACAGGAAGCGAGTTAAAGGCGTTAGCAATATCTAGTGATACTGCTATAACAACACCGCCCTGGCCAACAACTCTTTCAGACTTCTCCTTTACTTTGAGGATCGCGTCCAAGGTCGAACGACCTTCGCGGAAGCCAAACTGATTCTCCGCCAGGGGTGGTCCAGTTGTATCAAGGTGCTGATTCAAACGGGTGGCAATGACCCGCTCGAAGATCTTCGCCGCTTCATTCAGCACCACGATGGGTCGGTATCCCGACGGAGAATCATCCGGTCTGCCTTCCTTACGCAATAGGACGAGACGTCCATTCTTCCACTCGCGAGGGAACCTGCCGTAAGTTAGGCAGTTATTCATTAGTTTCCTTAACCGGTCCTCAAGAGAGAGTAGAGCAATCCCTAGGACCTGTCCAGGGACTCCATCTGGGCCCGGCGCAGTCCTCTTACTCTTCATCCGAGCCACCGAATAGTTAAACTCGGCATCCGTGACAGTGGGAGCTGACGACTGCGAAACAGCCAATGGTTGTACAGACATCTCTGGAGGAGCGAAGCCCTCTTGCCTTGTAGGGAACAGGGATGTTAACACCCTGTTCAAAAAATCCGGCTGCAGAGGCTCCGTCAAGGGAGTGGTCATGGTCCGGAGCTTGTTCCGGACCATCCGGTAAGGTTTCCCCCACGGGTCCCGGTTTATCCCCTCAAGCAGTTCCTGCCATGCCTTAGTCTTAGCAGTTTTTATAGCCATCTGCAGGGCCCTTTTTGCGGTCTTGTAGGACTCAAGAAGATGGCTTTCCTCTTCTGCGTTCCGGGTGCGTCTGCGTCGATAACGGGCATGTAGGCGTTTGGCATGCACACATTTACTCCGCAAATCTGAGAGCTCACCCGACCACCAATGCATGTACTTTTTGGGGGGTAAACGCTTAACGCGGGGCATGGCGGCATCACAAATCCGGGTGAGGGCGTTGCGTAGCCATTCTGCCTCTTCCTCAATACCCTGACTGGGCATGGAATCCCCGAACCACGCCTGTATAAGGGCCGCCTCCTTCACCATCGTCTTGTCTAACCGGGACACAGCCCAGCGCGGAAAGCAGGACGCGGTTTCTCGCGGATGGGGTCGGGCGGATGTGCAAGTTGAAACGCGAATGCTAAACCCAATATATAGGTGGTCAGAGAGCGATTCAACCTCCTCCAATACCCGCCAGTCAGATACGAGCGACTCGATAGACGGCGAAGCGAAGGACACGTCGATGATGGACTCGCCCTGCGGCCGAACGCATGTCGATGCAGTCCCACGGTTTAGCAAAGACATCCCGCATATCACCGCCCATTCCTCTACAAGACTACCTCGTTGGTCAGTGAGAGGTGATCCCCACATCTTCGATTTAGCATTGAGGTCTCCAAGGGCCAGTAAAGGCAGAGCGGAGTGCCGTTGGATTACAGACCCTAGCTCGTCAATGAAAACCTCAAATTCTGCGAAGCGGCGGTTAGGGGAAAAGTACACTCCTACAACACATAATTCCCCCCATCTAGCCACAACGTATCCATGTCCTCTTTCGAGGAAACGGAGAGAAGACCCAATTGTAGATGTGGAACCAACTATTCCCACAGTCTGGTCCAGATCCGTAGCCCAGTGAGGCAATGGAGGCACTAAGTATGGCTCGGCAATGACACCTACATTCACCTCCCGCTCCGCCATGTGCTGCATAAACAGATCTTGGGCTGCAGCACAATGGTTGAGGTTCGCCTGAAGGAAACTGTAGGATCGACTAAGCATTGTTATCTGTCTGCATTTCCCCTGTCAGGCGAACCTGCTCTTCCTCGGTTGCAGCTCTTGATTGTGAGGCTGCAGTCCTTCTTGTAGGGCGGGGGGGGTGGCATTTATTGCCTCCCATTACGTGGTCCGCTGGCTTATCGGCGCCAGCGCACACCACGCAATGCGGCTTGGCTGAGCAAGTCGCCGCAAGATGTCCGGTCAAACCGCAGCGGTAACAAAGCCCACTGCGGTCTGTAGATGCCGTGCATTGAATCCTGGAGTGACCCAGTTCCAGACACCTGAAACATTTGAGGGGCCTCTTCTGCAGTAGAGTCACTTTGGCCGAGCACCACCCAACCAAGAGACGGCCTGAGGTCAGGGTCTTCACTTCTGTGACTGGGCATTGGGCCCAGATGGATCCCGTGCCTGACCATCCTATTCGAATCTGCCCAACTTTGATATTGTCCGGGGGACATCCGCATTTTTTGACGATTGCGTCTTTTACTTCATCATGAGTGACCGAGTCATCAAGACACGATATGAGTACATCGGCCGTCTTTACCGGCCGGACAACCCTGATATCCTCCGGCAGTAGCTCGCGCAGCTTTTGGACCAACCGATCTACTTTTTCATCCCCGACGGCGTTGGGAAGTTCCATGAGCCGACCACCGGATATGGTGTTTCGGAATTTGGCCCCACTCTCTATTCCCAAATCGCTAAGCCTGCACTGCGATTTCACTCGGCCAATAACCTCAGCGAAAGAGGGCTTATTTTCCGCATCTGGTCGGACGGATATCAACACGGCCAGAGATCTTGGAGGTTTGGGAAGTGTTGGACTATCCTTCTTAGCTGATGATGACTTCTTCTTCTTTTTTTTTCTTTTATTCTTGTCAGAGGATGCCTGGGTGGGCTGTTGTTCGACCCCGGCGCCATGTTCATTGCGTCTCTTTGCGCTCTCCTTTTTTCTATTCACGACCAACGTCCAGTCCTGGTCATCCTTCTGTGTAACTGGTGGATCCACGGACCCACCTGGTTTAGGAATTGAGGAAGTCAGTTCCTCCGTCCCTCTGGATTTTGATTTTTTTGCTCTCCTAGTTTTTTCCCTCATTGGAAGAGGGGCGACCGCAACTCCGCTAGAAGAAACTGGCGCAGCAGTATTCGGTCTAGAAACTCCACTAGCCGCCTTGTCCGAAGCTAGCGGGGGACGGAGACGTTCCTCTGGTGGGAGCCTTCTTTTAATGCCCTCCAGCTTCGCGTCCATCATCGTGCCGACGCTCACCATGATCTTTCTTAGTAATTCCTCATCGCTACTTCGAAGAGCGTCTACGGCAGGAGGCATGGGAGCGACGGACTTTTTCTTCTTGGACGGAGGTGAGGACAGATTGATGGTGGAAGCCTCCGTCCCAGGCACATCCCGATCCGCATCCATGTTATGTATCTCCGGTGACACAATGGAACGTCGCGTTGCAGTGCGGAGCTCAGCCCTAAGCTCTTCCACTTCTCTGCGCATTGCGTCAATCTGCGTCTGAAGCCGAACATTTTCCTCTCTGAGCTTGCAAGTCTCCTCAGTGATAGAAGTCTTGGCAAGCTCAGAGACTTTCTCGTGGATCGAAGATGCCGCGGATTTTAGAGCCTTGATATATGTACCCTTTAGGTTAGAGGATTTTTTCGCGATCCTAGTAATAAGGGCGCACTCAGCCTCAACCGCCTCCTCAATATCAAATACCGAGTCTCTACTAATAGCGGATTCACCGGTCGCTCCGCAGGAACGGTTAGCCTCGTATTTCGCCCGAGCCTCGTATGTCCTCTTTACCATTTCGGCAGTCTCGCAGTCAAGTGAGAGTTGGAGTTCCTCACGCAGAGCTTGATTAAGCTCATGTTGTCCCTTTACACGATTAATGTACTCGCCTGTGGTAGGCGGCTTTCCTCTGCTCTTAAGTGATGTCTGCGTTTTGGTAGAGCTCCCTGAGCTGGAGCATTGCGACCGCACCCTTTTCCGTCCCCGCGTAGTTGTGGGCAGTGAAACACCCGGGATGGAGAGAACTGACGAAATCCCCTCGGAGCAAGTGCTCATATCCTCACGCGAGGAGGAGTCTGAAATTTCAGTCATATCTCTTCTCTCATCCAAACGCAATGGTTTCCGAGCACATCGTGGTGAGCTTCGTGGTGTATCAACCCACACTGCCTTGTCCCCTCTTGTTTTGACAGGTGACACGTATTTGTTTCTCCCTGCAGCACTAGCTCTTGAACTACTCCTTGACCGCGACCTCGACCGCGTGGCCAAAGATGCATTACGGAGCAGCAGATCATCATAGACACCTTTCCCTCTACTTCTCCTTCTCTCGCGAGTAGGTTGGTTCCCATCTTCTTCCCTCACATGCGCTGAGCTACTACCCATAGCTATCTCCGGGGTTATACCCACAGCACCTCCTACGTCCGTATCGGCACAAATGGAGGACTTTTTGCTAACTGCGATGTCTTGCAGCAGCACTCTGCACTCCCTCTTCTCAACTCCTAGATTTTTGTTTTTATTAGTGGATTCCATGTTATTCCCACGAGTATTAGGTGAAATGGTCCACCCGGGCAGGGACCATGTACCCGGGTAACCCTATTTACACCATGGGGGTCGGGAAAACCCCATGGGCGCGACTGCCCCCCGGCGTGAACCAGGGGCCGTGAGCTGGCCGACCTTCTGGGCCGACCTCCTCCACAGAGGCGTCCGGCGGCACGGAGTGCCTACACCGCCGGACCATTCAGGTTTTTTAATGAGGTTTTCTCCTCTTGACCCAGCCAATAAAGGCAAGGTCCCTACTCCCTAGACAAGCTGTGAAACATGACCACAACACTCAACCTAGGGAATAGGTTGCCCGATGGTGGCCCAACACCGACTAAATCGGCTAGACCCAACCGCCAGCTGCATCTACTGCCACTGGACAGATCCACCGCGCCGCGACATACTGCCGCCAACCCCCCAGCCAAAGCTTGGGTCCCCAAGGAGGGTCCCCGACCAAAAAGCGTGGAGACGCCACGACAAAAGCACTAACTGTGCCTCCAACTCCTTACGTCCTGCATCGTCGCTACCCAGAATACTTCCGGGACGCCGATCGGGACACCAGACTTGACTACCGCTACCCAGGTAATTCCTGGGACGCCAGCCAAGTCCCCCTCGGGTGATTTTTTAAAGAGGTTTTCTTCCTCGCAGCCCCCACCCCCCGAGAGAGATGGCGGCCCTCGGCCCCGCACCATGTGCGAGGTTACGAGTTTGGCGTGGCAGGTTACCCTCTTCTTGACAAGAAGAAGTGGGACCTGCCGATGCCTGTCTGGTTATGGTCCACGCCGGCCAAAGCCGGTACCTCCCATCCGCCACCCGGGAGGACGCGCCCGATAGCAGAACCAGACACTGCCACGGGAGACGAAAGAATCCACCTACAGTAACACGCGAATGACATTTAGTTGTTTACCACAAGAGATGTCAAAATCATGGCGGATGTGGCGAACAGCGTTTTTAGTGTTTAAAAAATATAGACTTAAAAATATTTTTTAAAATTAAATTTCTACAGCAATCTTCTGCTTTTATGAAGTGAAATCGATATATTAAGGTTCCTTAGACTAAATACTTTAAGAAATAATCATTTATTTAATACCATTCGACATGAGTAAACTAGCCTATTGTATATTGTTTGTGTGTCAGAACATAAATTTATATACGTTGCGCGATGATGTACATAATTTCAATACCAGAAATAAAGATAAACTCAAATTGCCACCGTTAAAACTCCAAAAGGTTCTTGGTTCATTTGTAGGTCAAGGTATATGTTACTTTAATAAAATACCAAAAGAAATAATTAATTTACCTTTTAATAATTTCAAAGTATGTATAAAAGTTTCCTTAAGAAAGGTTACTATAATGTTAAAAATTTCATAAATGATAAGTCATCTTGGGATTAATATAATAGACTAAGTCGTTTTACTTTGCTAATTTGGTTTAAAGTTGTTTAATCGCCACTTCTAAATTGAAAAGTAGTACCTAGCTATACTTAACTTTTGTTAATTAATGTGATGGAAGTTGACATCAACACATGTTTTCAATTTTTGATGTCATCTTTCAATTGACGACACTGTTTGAAACAAAACTGGGAGATAAAAATAGCCCTTGCTGAGTTTCTTGCCGGTTATTCTCAGTACAAGGTCTCCCGCCGTAGATTTACGAACCGATGGCGTAGCGTTTGACTTTCACAAGAGCTTGTAACAGCCTAGACTGAATAAATGAGTTTGAGTTTGAGTTTAATTTCTTTATGGAAATCAAGACCATGGTAAGTTGCTTGTGTTATTACTTTTATAAAATAAATATATTCAATTGCTGGATTGTATTAGATTCCTGCTAGTTAGTTTCCGAAAAAAATATTAAAGATTAAATTATTAGAAAAAATATTTATATTTTCATTTTTAGGGTTCCGTACCTCAAAAGGAAAAAACGGAACCCTTATAGGATCACTTTGTTGTCCGTCCGACCGTCCGTCTGTTAATCTGTCAAGACCGTTTTTCCTAGGAACGCGTGGAGGTATCAAACTGAAATTCATATCTAATACTTATGTCTACTGTCCCTTGGAGCTGTGAAAAAATCAAACTTCTAAGCCAAAGCAATCAAAAGATACAGCCGTTTATGCCGCAAATTTTCGAAACTCGCACGGGTATCAAAATCTACAGGGTACTTTCCCGTGAACTTAGAATCTTGAAAGGAGATTGCTCAGCTTCCATACATGTTTGACCTAAAAACCAATAACCATGAAAAATTGTTTCCTACATTCGAAATTATATGTAAATTACCGTAGAAACGAATATTATCGACGGCCACTCCTGAGAACTTCTATAAACCATATACACTGAATGATTTTGAGGTTATGTTTGCAAATAGGCACATAGGTATTAGAATAATAAAAAAAAAAAACTTATATAGGAAAATAGGGCAATCAAGCCAAGTACCGATATTATGTATTAGATTCAGGTATATAGAGCATGTAAAATAACAGATATGTGCATGTTTTTAAAAACACGAACAGAAACTGTGTGATGATTGTGAATGAGCCACAGATTAGAGAGAATTTTTAAACTCTCGTTAATCAAAGAAAGCTAAGAGCTGTAGGTTATACAGCCATATCTTCAGCAGCTTCATTATTTTTGTTATGTTTTTATTATTACCATATTTTAGATTTTTAGTGTATCACACCTTATAATGTGTTTATTTAGGTGTTTGGCAAAAAATGTACGGCAATAGACTTTATGATGTCGCCTACCGTCTATATTAATTGACTTAGCACATTTGCATGTAGTAAAAATGATAATAAAGTTGTGGATATTAATACCACCCGTGTAATAAAAAAAAATATTTTATCAATCTTTACAAAATAGATTTGTTTTGATGTTATATAAACAACCTCGATCAGTCTTTGTGAATGTTACTACACCCATAGCCAATAAAAATGATTCGTATGTTTTCCAAACCGGTAAAAATAGAAGTCCTTTTTTAAAATTAATATATTATTTAAAGGTGGCCGTTAAAATCTAATGACTGTAAAATAAAGTATAAATTACGCCAAGAATTACTGTATATGTCAATATTTTATTTGCATTTAGGCCAATTTGACCAATTTCCTTTGGTACTAAGTAACGTCTTATCTTATAGTATAGATAAAGGAAAAATTACGAAAACCGTAAATTTTTTTTTTTTAAATATTTTTAGTTACATCATGTAACTAAAAATATTAAAAAAAAAAAAGTTACTACCTCTTTTCTCATGGACGCGTAGAGTTATTAAATTGAGTTTGTACGGAACTTTCGGTGCGCGAATCCGACTCGCACTTGTCCGGTTTTTTAAGCATGCAACTGCTGGATGTTTAAATCTTAAGAAAATGCTAATGACTGCAGATGCAACCGGGACCAACGGATAACGTGCCAGTCAAAGTACAGACGAACTCAAGATAGTAAATGTTTGATCACCCATCCAATGACTGACCACTGAGAAAGTTGCTTAACTTCAACGAGCGCAGCTGAACGAGCTAACCACTTACACCCTTGGCTCTTCCATTTGTGGGTTGTATCTTTAACTTTTTTTTTATATAGCGAGGTAGGCAAATGACTGCCCCACCTGATGTTAAGCGGTGATAAAGTCCAAACGCGAAGATTTCTGGAACAGCAAATATAAACTGCTACACCAACCATCCTCACCTTGCCGGCCTGCAAAAATGTTTCTTCACGCCTCTCTTAAAGGACCCCAGATTATATGAGGGAGCGAACACGTGCGCGGGTAAAGAATTCTACTTACGAATAGTACGACGAAGAAATGAGTCACCAAATTTCTTTGTTCGTGTAGCAATAGTAGAGCCACACTAAGTAGGTGACAACGTAGGCCAGCGCGCGTGGTCCTCTGAAGAAAAGGTGATGGAGGGATAAGCGAGAATAGCTCCTCAGAACACTCGCCGCGGTCAATAGAATGCGCTTAATGATGCCACATCACGGCGTAATTGTAGAGACTCGAGTTTCTTAGTTACCTCTTCATCGCCAATGATGCGGGCAGCGCGCCGCTGCAACCTATCCAGGGCATCGAGTAAGTACTTAGCGGAGCCATCTGAGAGGTGCGAGCAATATTCCACGCAGGACCGCACTTGCGTTTTGTACAACAAGCACAGTTGATCGGGCGTGAAAAAACGCCGCACCTTGTTCAGGACTCCGAGTTTGCGTGAAGCTTTTTTTCGTTCGTTTTGATCTCATTCTGTAAGGTAATCAATAGCACTACACCCAAAGATATATGTCCCAGTAAGGAATTGAACCAACTCTTAATATTATTCAATAGAATAAATTACTCGCTATAATGTATAATTGAAATTTGATTCGGTCAGTTGAAGTATTAACAAAACTACGTACAATACATGCAGCTCTCCGCGAATATCGTTTTAATTGGAATGTGATCCAATTTTTGACGCATCACGGAAACCTCATGAAACCAATTACCTGGCCGTATGGATCTACCCTTTAAATTAATACAATCTGTCATGTTATAACACCGAAATTATTGAATGAATGGTGAAATGGCTTAACGTTCTTCCACCCATACTACATAATAAAATATTAATAAATAAATGCCTAAATTTTCATGTAGTGTATATGTATTCTATCCGTTACCCTAGTATTCTAAAACACAAGCCTGCAGTGCTTACTTTGGGGCTAGGCTAACCGGTGTGTGTTGTAAATATTTAAAATTTTATTTATTTTTACTTAATTCATTTATTTACAAAATATTATTCATTCTTACAAAATTCCACTTGAACAGTTTTGTAAGATCAAAGAAACGTCCTGAATTGTCTTCACTGACCTAATAAATTTAAGGACATGTGCATTATTAAAATTTAAAAACGAATATTTTAATAGATATCTACCCGATTAAAACTTTGCATAATTTGAAGTTATTATATTTCTTTCTTACTTTTTCACTTTATTTTTTTCTGAATCTCTCAAGAACCTTCATTTTTTTCGGGATTGAAAGTAAACTTTGTCTTAATCCAGGTAATTAACTATATGTCTATCAAATTTCTTTCAAATCCATTTAGGCGCTTTTGAGGAAAACCATTCAAACATTCACGTATATATTAGTATATAAGGATATCGAAATTTCAAATTTACTATAAAAGGGAAATTAAGCACTGGTGCTCTTTTAGGCTAATGGCTAGCGTATATTCAAGCTTTATGTGTGTAAAATTCTCTGCAAGCAAATATAATAGATTGATCTCCAGCGAAATTGCTTAATCAAACAACTATACAATTACAACACATTATGTTAACACATACCTATATATCTAAAGAAAAGTTTACTAGAAAAAAATCCACGCGGACCAGGCAGCGGACGGGACTCGAACCCGCATCCTTCGCTATCCGGGTGAATGCACTGACCATTATGCTACCACGGCTAACTTTTCTTTAGATTTAAACATCTAGCAGTTAAATGCTTAAAAAATAAATAAAATCATAACTATAATTGCTATTTCTTCTTTCAAATGTTTAATACTTGAAAAAGTATTCATTTGACATTGTGGGTTACCTACAATGCGAAGAGATGGCGCTGCCTTGCAGCGGCTAGGAAAATTTCGACGCGGCTAATAGGACCGTGGTAGCATAATGGTCAGTGCATTCGCCCGGATAGCGAAGGATGCGGGTTCGAGTCCCGTCCGCTGCCTGGTCCGCGTGGATTTTTTTCTAGTAAACTTTTCTTTAGATTTAAACATCTAGCAGTTAAATGCTTAAAAAATAAATAAAATCATAACTATAATTGCTATTTCTTCTTTCAAATGTTTAATACTTGAAAAAATATTCATTTGACATTGTGGGTTACCTACAATGCGAAGAGATGGCGCTGCCTTGCAGCGGCTAGGAAAATTTCGACGCGGCTAATAGGGCCGTGGTAGCATAATGGTCAGTAAATTCGCCCGGATAGCGAAGGATGCGGGTTCGAGTCCCGTCCGCTGCCTGGTCCGCGTGGATATTTTTCTAGTAAACTTTTCTTTAGATTTAAACATCTAGCAGTTAAATGCTTAAAAAATAAATAAAATCATAACTATAATTGCTATTTCTTCTTTCAAATGTTTAATACTTGAAAAAGTATTTATTTGACATTGT